TCTGAATTGGGAAAGCTAGTCTGATGACCAGCAAAACATCATCAAGAAAAAATACAACAGGTCCAGTTGCCTTGAATTATTTTTACAGATACGTCTCTGAATCATTCAGGTTTATCTTTAGCGCAACAGCTATAAAAAGAGTCTACAAAGAGCTTCCTCTGCTGCATAGAGCTTGCCAACATCTGGTCAAAGCGATATAAAAGATTGATATCCACCCCATAAATAAGAATGTTATAAATGTTTTTTTAGTGCTGAATATAACACAAAATGTATAAAAATATTGTAAAGATTGTGAGAGGTTAGATCTATTACCTGCTCTCGGGGCTCTTTCTAGCTTGTTTGGGATTAATGTATGAGTTACAGAGCAAGTAATCCTCAAATCTGGGAATATCGTGATACCGAGTGGCCCCAGGAGGTCGGACATGGGGTGTGCAGATCGAGGAGAGCCCGTGAGTTGGACCTGCGGGGCGTCCGGCTGCAGAACCACAAGGTAGCCATCCAGGTCTGGTACTGAGAGACATCCTTCGTCACTGACACACCTAGAGAACAAGACACATCGCTATTCACTGAACACTCTTACATATGAAGGTAAACATAAAAAGTTGACATCTTCCCCAATCTAGCCTGAAGTAAATCACTGATATAAAAGCCATTACTGACTCTTCTGGTTTCCTTTTCACAGGCATTAGAGATAAGCAAAACCAACACTTTTCCTTTGTGGACATTAGGTTGATATTTGCCATTTGGGCTAATTGCATTGGAGTTAATGGAAAAGGTGGTTATTAAAGCCCAATTCCACGTTTGGGTCCCCCCACCCACCCTTGAAGCACATCTGAACCCTAATGTCATTCGGGTCTAGGAGATTCAGCTTTAGTATTAATATCTGTATATGGTTTCTGTTATTCGCAACAAATATTCATAAACTTATCCGAAAATTCGGACTTCATCCGAATCCGAAAACCCGAACCAATTTGAATTTTGGATCCGAATCCCAAAATAACGAAATATCCGAACCGAACCAAATTTTTCTGGAGCTTACATGTCTAGTTACAAAGCATAGGAAGAGATAGAGCTACACAATATTGAAAAAGACACAACCAATGACACCTCCATCACCTCAGACAGCACTCCGTACACCCACCTGACTGTGGTCTGCAATTTAAGGGGTCGAACGCCTGGTGTTGGGAACTGTAGAGAGTTGAGGTATTCAACGTGCTGCAGAGCCCGGCTGAAGGAGGCTGCATCATCCCCTTCCAAGGAAAGCTGTGACTGAGCGGGGTTCACGTGAACCTGAGAGCAAAGGTCAAATATATCACACAATCAACATGAGCAACACAGGGCCACTCGAACACCTCAAAAAGGGGCCAAAACGGTAAGATAAACCCGACACAGCAAGTAAATAGCTTTCTGTATCCACAGTCCATGACAGTGTGGAGTTTGGTTATAGAGGCGGCACTTTTAAACACAGTTTATAGGGTGCCTATTACCAAAACTTGGCTAGACTGGCATAGAAAGGTACAGGTCCGGGATTCATTTTTGTCCAGGTATCTATTGCTGTCTGTGCGACATTACATACACTTTAAGTGGTCCCTATTGGCGTTAACATTTTAGTACCAGATTTTCTGATTTACACCCAGCTCCGGAGCCCTGTCAGATTTTTATTGCTGTCTATATCCTCATTTGGGGGATTCCTTTTACTTTCCTTCACATGGAGACACTCAAGGAGTTTCCTCAATGGGTGGATAAATACATGGAAAGACTGAAGTTAGAAGTTGTAACTGTTCCCTACTATTGAAAAACTAAAAAAAAAACAACTTAGCTGGATTTGGGTTTAGATAAACTGCAGGAAAGGAATCTAAAATCGTAATTATTCAAAGGAAATGGCAGATGGTGATTCCAAGTCCTGGCACATCAAAGTGTTACTGACAGCCTCATCTGTTACCTTCATTCCTTTCCCCAGATTGTCGAAGTCGGTGTACTGCAGACCCTCCTTACAGGAGTAGAGACATTCTATCGCTTCCCGAGAATCCACTGGACCCAATCGCAGAGACAGGCCGGAAATGTAACCACGCAGGAATCGGCCAAAAGACGTACCTGGAACCAAAGCAAGGGTTAAACAAGACCATTTAGTAGGACAGCACAGGGCAGAGGAAGGGCGGGAGAGAAGAGGACAGGAGAGCTCAGAAGAGAGGAATGGGCAGGAGGGCACAGAGGAGAGGACAGGATGGCTCAGAGGAGAGGGCAGGAGAGCACAGAGGAGAGGGCAGGAGAGCACAGAGGAGAGGGCAGGAGAGCACAGAGGAGAGGGCAGGAGAGCACAAAGGAGAGGATGGGAGACCACAAAGGAGAGGGCAGGAAGGTACAGAGGAGAGGGCAGGAGGGGACAGAGGAGAAGACAGGAGGGCACAGAGGAGAGGACAAGAAGGCAAAGAGGAGAGGACAGGAAGGCAAAGAGGAGAGGACAGGAGAGCACAGAGTAGAGGACAGGAGAGCACAGAGTAGAGGACAGGAGAGCACAGAGTAGAGGACAGGAGAGCACAGAGGAAATGACAGGAGGGCACAGAGGAGAGGGGAGGTGGGCACAGAGGCAAGGAGAGGAGGGCACAGAGGAGTGGACAGGAGGCCACAGAAAAGAGGGCAGGTGGGCACAAAGGAGAAGACAGGATGGATAAGAGACGAGGACAGGAGGGCACAGAGGAGATGACTGTAGGGCACAGAGGAGATGACAAAAGGCACAAAGGAGAGGGCAGGACAACACTGCAGAGACAGGAGGTTGAAAATGTAACCATGCAGGAATTCGCCAAACAGAAGTGGAGAGGAGAAGGGGAGGGCAGGAGAACATAAAGGAGAGGGCAGAGGAGAAGAGAGTAGAAAGTGCACAATGGAAAGGACAGGAGAGCACAGACAAGAGGACAGGACAACAGATCCCAGAGAATAGTAGAGGACAGTGGAGAGAAAAGGACAGAAAAGAACAGAGAAGATATTAGAAGAACAAAAAATATGAGGTTAAACAAGAGAAAATAAAAGAAGAGAGGAGAGGACAAGGGAGCACAGAGGAGAGAACGAAGGAAAGAAAAACATAGGACAAGACCCCCATAGAGAAAAACTAGCAGGTTGTGGGGTTTCCATCCGCACTGCAAATGATAATTTTAAAAAATCATGAAGTTGTTCTTTAAGGGTTACATTTCTGGATCAGGTTAAGGGTTAGGGTTTAGGGAGGAACGGGTTAAGTATTAAGAATTCCAGAGCATTAGGTTAAAATGAGGGTTCAACTAAGGCTTGGATTGAGGGGATATACCGGTACTTTGAGTTTTGTTTGAGCCCCACACCAAAAGCCAGCACATTGTGATGGAGAAGTGAGGCATGGTAACAAGGACTTATTTTGTACGGAAGTCCAGCCATGTCTGATTATAAGGCGGCCATTTTATATTAATGCTACTTGAAGAACTCAAGAAGCCAAAACCTGTGATGGAGAGAAATATTGAGCTATTGATGGAAGGGGATAGTGCTTGCTGGAAAGTCTAGGATGAATGAAGATAAGAAGCAGAGATACAAAGCAGGAAAGGAAGTTCAGCTGAGAAGAAAATGAACAATAGCAAACATCATGTTATATATTCCTCTACCATTCAGGGTGCGTGTACAACAGACAGAACTGAGACAATGTACCTGGGGCTCTGGACACTTCATTGTCATTCACTCTCACCGAAAACTTCTCATCTGTTAGAAGATAAGATACAGATTGGGGTGTTTTACCATTTTTCACAAATTTAGATCTCTTTATGACTTAGACCCGAGTCTCTCTTTCCTCTACCACCCTCCATCGTTTAGCTCTGATGTACAGGAGTACAGGACGGCCTTGATGTTCGAAAGTAAGTTATGTGGACAATGGAGTTTTCAGATGTCCATACGCCTTAAATGCCGATTCCACCTTTCAGACCATGTTTCATGTTGGAACATGAAACATGGTCACAATTCACAGCCCCCTATCTCCAAATCCCCCCCCGCCCCCCCCTTACTGTATGAGTTGGTCCTTTTCCTTGCAGCATCTTGTCTATATCAGTACTACTGACCTTAGCTATAAAATCTAAACTAGCAGTAAATGTGATTCTCACAAACTTAAACTGGTTTCAGTGGGACCTCACCTGTCCAGCAGCCTCCAATCATGAGCCTGGCCTGACGCTTGGGAGGAGTGAGGGCTCCATTATCGTGGATAAGTGCCGGATCGTAGGTCACACCATCCACATAGAGGGAGACGGTTGGGAATTCGAGGCTCAGAGCATAATGATGCCACTCTACATCACAAACCTGATGTGGAACAAGGGGAGCAAATGTCACAGGAGAACAAAGTTCAGGGGCCAAAATTATTAGAAGACATGACAGCACAGAAGAGAAGCCAAGAAAGAGGAGGGCAGAGAAAAGAAGAAGACAACACAGAAGGGCACAGAGGAGAAGAAAGCATGCAGGAGGGTCAGGAGAAAACAGAGGAAAGGAGAGGATAGGAGAGCACAGAGGAGAGAATAGGAAGGCACAGAGGAAAGGACAGGAGAGCACAGAGGAAAGGAGAACACAGAGGAGAGGATAGGAAGGCACAGAGGAAATGAGAGGACAGGATGGCACAGAGGAAAGGAGAGGACAAGAGGGGAGAGGAGGGCACAGAAGAAAATGAGAGGGGACAGGAGGGCACAGAGGAAAGGAGAGGACAGGAGGGCACAGAGAAGAGAACAGTAGAGCACAGAGGAATGAAGAACACAGAGAAAAGGAGAGGTAAGGAGAGTGCAGGAAAAAGAACAGGAGAATACAGAGGAGAGGAGAAGAAAGGAAAGCAGAGAGGATAGGACAGTACAGAGGAGATGATACAAGAGCACACAGAAAAGGACAGGAGAGCACAGAGGAAAGGAGAGAACAGGGGAGCACAGGGGACAGGAGAGCTGAGATGATAGGAGAGCAAAGAGGAGAGGACAGGAGAGCACAGAGGAGAGGACAGGAGGAGAGAACAATGGACAGAAAAGTAGAAAGGAGCACAGAAGCAAGGAGAAGGAAGAAAAGAAGACCAGGGAGGAGGAGAGGAGAGATCAGGAGAGCACAGGGAAGAGAAGAGCTGAGAGGGTAGGGGAGCAAAGAGGAGGGGAGAGGACAGGAGGAGAGCACAATGGACAGAAAAGTAGAAAAGAGCACAGAAGAAGGGAGAAGGAAGAAAAGAAGAAGATCAGAGAAGAGGAGAGATCAGGAGAGCTCAGAGGAAAGAATAGCACCAGGGAGGAGGAGAGGAGAGATCAAGAGAGCTCAGAAGAAATGAAAGGCAATGATGGAAGAGCACAAAGGAAGAAACAGGTCAGCACCTGCACAGGAGTAGAAGAGAGAGACAGAGAAAAAAGCACAGGAAAGAGAGTGGCAGGGCAGAAAAGAAGATATGACAGGAGAAAGAAAGAGACAACAGGGAAGAAAAGGAGTAGAAGAGAGGGATGGTGTTCGGTGCAATGTCACCTTGCTGTGTCCCTCTGGCCCCATATGCTACGACAGGTGTCATGTAATTACCTGTTCTAATTTCCAGAGGAATTTTACAGGACGAGCGCTGTCCAGTAAGGACCAGTAGAGAAAGGAGATCCGGCAACCGTGCACGGCCAGAGTATAATGTGAGAAGCTGCCATCTTTTTGCAGGGCAGGGGGGGGGGGGACAGGGCACATAAATGAAGGTTATAAGCAAAAAGAATCAGACAACATTATACTTATGTACACATATTAGTTGCTGGAACCAGCAGATACAGAGCTAGATCCCATCCATTAGGCCACACCACTTACACTGAACTGGTCTCATATACTGTATACAGTACAACAACTAGAGACAAAGGTCTGTGTTAGCCAAAGCAGCCAATCTATTTCCAGCTTTCTCCATTTCACACTACACTTTCCCTTTAAAAGCAATATATAGTTGTTTTGTATATATATATATATTTATATACAGTATATATATATACATATATACAGGTGAAACTCGAATAATTAGAATATCGTGCAAAGTTCATTTATTTCACTAATGCAACTTAAAAGGTGAAACTAATATATGAGATAGACTCATTACATGCAAAGCAAGATAGTTCAAGCCGTGATTTGTCATAATTGTGATGATTATGGCTTACAGCTCATGAAAACCCCAAGAACCCCAAATCCACAACCTCAAAAAAGTAGATTATTACATGCAATCAATAAAACAAGGATTGTACATAGAACAATATCGGACCTCTGAAAAGTACAAGCATGCATATGTACTCAGTACTTGGTTTGGGCCCCTTTTGCAGCACTTACTGCAATTACTTTTGCACGATATTCTAATTATTCGAGTTTCACCTGTATATATATAAATATCTTTGCTATATTTATTTATTAGGATCAGGACTACAAATATATGATTTTTTTCTAAGCACGTGCATAAGAAATACTGAATACAAATACTGTATGATATAGTCTTTTTTTGTTAGCCAGCAGGTGGCGCTCTAGACCTCTTTTTATGTGTTTAGCCTTTCCGTAGAAAAAAAAAGCCAACAGTTAACAGACTGCAATAGCTCAAGCTGATATTTACACACACAAGTGAATAATAGCTGTAAAACATTACTTATGGGATAGCTCTGTCCAAGGTTTCAATTCAACAAAGCCAGCCAAAAGGCAGGGAGCATTTACTGCTCCATTAGAAAACCCGTAGTGCTCTGGGAGCTCTTTGCCATATATTAAATGTTTAAAAAGACGTTATATATGAAGTTAATCTTAGTCTAAATTACATGGCCACCCCTTAGCATGAACCCTTTGAGCTCACCATTTTGTACGGTGTTACACAACAACACTTCCTCTTCCTTTCCTGCCTTCCCTCCACCTCCCCCTGCGTGTTTCAGCCAAAAGGAAAGCGTCAAATGATCAGCTGCTCCGCCCCCTGCAGGTAACCGCCCTGCAGGAACTTCCACTGACTGGGAACCATTGAACCAGTAGACTGGGCTGCTGTCCTGTGTATCCTGTATGGGGAGGCTGTTTGTCCAGTTATACAAAGGGCTGGGGGGAGGAAGTAAGTCAACATCTCCTGCGGCAGCTCCTAAGAGGGACAAAGACAAAAGGATTTTGTACTAATTAGTCAGTAGTCTGAACATCCTGCAACTGAGATGGGATTCTCATAGTGACATTATCTGAGGTATTAAGCTGTGAGCTGTGATGAAACTGCAAATCCCATCATGCATCTGCCTCTGGGAGTCAAGCCTGTTGCTGTCAGAGTCTTGCAATGCCTCATGGGAGTTGTAGTTGCACCACAGCTGGAGGGCCGGAGTTTTTGCCCATCCTTGCTGTAGATGAAAGCCTGGCAACAATATTATATCACTGACGTACCGCACAGCTTTCGTAAGGACTTCTCCGAGTAATTGTCCCGATCGCAGCCCTTGGCAATGTGACTGGTTTGGATCTCCACAGTGGCCTGAATGTTCCATATTGGCTCCTCGCAGGTCTCCAGGTGGATGTTGGGAAATAACGCCAGGCTTCCTGTGCCAGGCACGTACTCAATGCGTTTGTTCCAGCCTGTTAGGGGAGGGAGCAGAGCCGTCAAGCATCTATATGCATGTTGAGGTGCTATACATGCAACAATATCTCACCAAGAGTGGTGGTGGTGAGAAGACAGAGTGCAGACACTGCTCACCCAAAGAGAGCACACAGTGCCAGAGCATACGCTGTCAAAGCACACGCTGCCAAAGCACACACTGTCGGAGCTCAGGCATAACTTACACAGAAAGAGCCTACACAGTCACAGTATTCACTATCGAAGCACACACTGTTAGAGCAATACACTGTCTGAGCACAGACACAACCTACACAGAAAGAGCCTACACTGCCAGAGCTCAGAGACTGTGTACATAGAAAGAGCACACGCGGTTAGAGCACACACTGTCAGAGCACACACTGTTAGATCACACATTGTCAGAGCTCACACGGTCAGAGCACACACGGTCAGAGCACACACGGTCAGAGCACACACGGTCAGAGCACACACGGTCAGAGCACACAC